GCACCTTCGAATCCTTTAGAACATACATATGGGTGGGTACACAATGGCTTGTTGCACTATAATTTAAGAAACTAGCAAGCTCCACAAAATAATAGATTTTTAGCCTAACTTTTTCATAGATACAACGTCATTTTCTACCAAAAAGTTTGTCAGCTTATGTTCACACATCTTTCAAAGTAATCTTTTTTGAAATAATGCTTTGAAGAGATCTTTCTGAAAAAGCAAGAGCTTTTCTTATAAAAAAAATAAATTTTCAATTACCATAACTATAACACACTGAGTCATTTACGCGTAACTATCAAAAACTAACAAAAACAATTTTTGGTCAAAGCAGCATATTATTTAAACTATTCCAAAAGTAATTTGATTGATTTTTCCAACGAGAACAAATACAAGTTTACCTCACATAATGTGTGTAAAGTTTATGATCGTTTATTTGAAAATTGTTTTTCCAAATAACTCTTTAACAGAAATAATATTTTCAGTAAGGTGGTCACTGTGTTACATTGCTGCATCACCTAGTTTAACCTCCATGTCCATTACATCGCTCTCCTAACAGAAACCTTCAACCTCATCCACAGAATAATCTTTTTAGATTGGAGTCTTGTAAAAAATTAGCTTTATGCGAAAGAACCAAAACAAAAAATTCAGAAACTGTTTTTGGCTAGTAAAACTATTATAAATGATTTGTCAAAGCTATACCTTATCAAATTTGCATTTTCTACTCTCAAAACAAACTAAACGTTTTTATTCTTTCTAGTCTCGTGCTGTGATAAACCAACAACGATCTGTAACCAACATCGTCAACAATCCTTATCTATTAGATCCTTTCTCCACTTATATACCAAAGTGAGAGTGAAACGAATTTTATCAGCAATGAGCGGCCCAGTTATCAAGTATACGCCAGGCAAGGTCAAAAATCACTCCTCTGTGAATAGTTCCAGAAAATCCATTTAACAACAACATCAGTACTTCCAGAAAATCATCATCAAGTCGCCAATACCCATCGAAACAAAATGTTAATTCAGTTAAAAATCATCAATAGAAAACAAAGTTCTACTCCTTCAACTGTTCATATCTTATTGTATCAAATGAATCATTTAAGTCAAAAAAGCAATTTCAGAAAATTTTTTTCAAACGAAATTTTCATAGTCTAATATTTGCATATGTACAGAATTATAGGTAGAGTGCTGAATGAAGTAATATATCACTTCTGTATGCTACAACAGTGAAGTAGATGAGAATCTCGAATACTGTACATGTGAAAAAAGTTAGATGAAATATCTTTTACACCCTATACAGAGCATAAAGTTGAAGAAAATTGCAAACAAAAAAAGGTTCAAAATTTTATAATTATGTAAAATGTGACAAAGGCCTAAAAAGTATTTTTTAAAGTTTTCAAAAATTAAAAAATAAAAATCGCCATTATACAAATGAATAAATGCTAGCATCAATCTTATATATAAATATTTAGCAAAAAAATATCAATAATAATAACGACGAGAATTAATGTAGGTAGGAATGAGCTTTCATGCATTGGAAAGACATAATACAAATGACAAAAAATTTTGCTGACTACTTTTGCTCTTGCTTTTACTAATTAAAGTCACTTAAGAGGTTGAATAAAAGAAAGCCATTGTACATGATGAAGCATAAAGAAAAGCAAACCAAAAACTTTTTTGTTTCTAACATCGAAAGTAATTTTCACTGAAAGAGAAGTAAAGCCAACATTTATGTTCCTTTTTTTGAGACAAAAAAGCGTATGTTCACAAATTAATTAGACTAGTCTTGAAAAAAGACAGTCAGAAAAAAAATGAAGAAAACCTTGAAGGAGTATCTGAAAGTGTTCAATGATTAAAGGCTTGCATATATTAAACAGCAAATATAGCATTGGTCACCTAAAATACATTTATATGCAGTAAAATTTGTCGTCAGAAGCGTCGTTGTCGTCATATAAAGGAAGCAACAAGAATATGCTGATACCTATTCAGTAACAGATACTGCCGAAATATATATTGAAAAAATTACTTAAAAAAATAGCTCTTTCTTCCTTTGTTCTTTAGTGTTACACCAAAGTACAAAAAGTACAAAAAAAATACACACACGTTAATCTTCCCTGGCTTTCAGCAAGAAATAGAACGATCAAAAAGGAAAGTTATGAAAAAAAAAAACCTAAAGACTTTTTTGAAAGTTCACTCAGTTACACAGTAATGCAAACACACAAATACAGAGTCATACATTTCTAAAAAAAAAAAATAAGCAGAGAGATTCTTCTAAAGTGGACTGATGTTCAACAGATTATTAAAATAAAATGTATTTTTGACAAAGAGACAAAAATGAACCTAATTGATAGAATGCAATGTTATTTTCTAAAGAATCCCATGCCTACTGGTATAAAACTCTTCCATGTCCAAAATATTACTAAATATAATATGTGTAGAAAACAAACAGGATAAACTAAAATTAAAATGTCTCGCCAAGTCGAACCCATTTTGCATACTGTGGATAAAGCACTTCGATAACAAAAAGTATTGAAGTACCCAACAAGGCTAATCGTTCCTCTGTTGAAGCTATCGGCCTAAATAAAACCCAAGATGGCAAATCTAATAGTGTGAATAAATTCTGCTTTTAAAAAAAAGTTAAACTTAGAAAAGCATTTACCATACACTTTGAAAAATGCTTGAAAAAGTTCAAACAATAAACATGTGCAGACACCAACAATTTGACGTTCGTTTACAAGCAAAAATTTCTTAAACTTATTACTATAAACTTCCAGGTACGATTTATATAGCTCAGTGAATCATAACTCGTTTGAAGTAGATAAAACAGATTCTATCAGACATCTGACTGGTTATAATAAATGCGTCCAAATAAACTTACTGAAAATACACAATCACATTTTTCCCTGTTCTACAAATTCCTGGTGCTGTACGACCAATTTGTGATTGCCCATCTCGGCTATAATAGCTTAGTTCCTGATCTCCTTTCATGCATAAGCAACATTTGAATAAAGCCGACAAACACGGCATTATCTAAAATGCAGCACATTTAAACAAGAATTCTGTTATCCAGCTCTTTTCAAAAAACTTGTCTTTCAAAATAAAATCTCGAAAAGACAAGAAACAACTACAAACTCTTAAGAGATAAATACGATTTAAAGTTATGAATATAACCTTTGTAAGCTTTTTCACTTCAACTCGTATAAACTGCTCGCCATTCTTCATTATATTCCAGTAACCATAATCTCCATCTTTCTCGTCAAATTCTACCTGTAACTTTTGATTCAGCTTCGTCCTTTTTCAAAGCCGATGACAATGACCATAACATTCCAAAAGCAACATTCAAAAATCGTAATCAAATCATACCGTATGAAGAAGCGTTCTATTAGGACCATAAATTTTGCCCAAAGTTATTTGTGGCTCATCGGTAACTCCAACCTCCATAAAAGATCTATTGCCATTCGTTGTTAGCACAACTCCCTGACCTTGAATCATTGTTCCACTCAGCAATCGCTTTGAATCATAACCCAAAATTTCAAGCATAACTTCGTCTAAACGATCAGACATTCTAAAAAGAATGAAGCTGAATAACGTTGAATATACCAGCAGAAAAATTTTATAAATATAGATAAACAAAAAACGACCTCTATTTACAGGAAAAAAAGATTTTCGCTAAACGAAGGCGAAATGTTACCAGATTATCAAAAAATTGATTGAATGTATACTTACGAGAATCCATCTTTTAAAAGAATTGTGTAGTTGGAATCTTTAAGTAAAGTACTCAATTCTGCTTCTTGAACTGCAGCTTCCATGATATCAACCACGATGAGACTGAAAAGTACTGAAACCGTAACCAATCAATACAGAATCGGTTCAGTACGGTCACCAGTTTCACAGCCAACAAAATCACGACATCGAAGCCGCGTAAGTGCGATCAATTTCCAAAGGAAAGGTTAAAGTAGTACAACTGGTTACCACAGAAACAGTGAGTGATATGTTAATTAAATTAGATCAGTAAATTCTAGCAACTTCTACCGGTCAAGTCGGTTCACAGTGTTGCAACAACAATGAGAAACAATGAGATTTTTTTAGAAAAACAGACAATTAACTGTAATCATTAAAAAGCTGGATGAGAATGAAACAGAAAGCTTAAAACCAGCCAAGAAAACAACATCTAGTAAGTACATAAAAATAAAAGAAAAAAAGAAGAGTAATCTAGAGGAAGAAAAAGAAAGAAGTTGAAAAGTCAAATAATGAGTAACGCTGATGAATACGACAACAAATAAACCAAAGTCCACTGAAGAATTTCTGTTAACCATACTGTTAAAATGAGTTTAAAGAAAACAAAAAGCAGAAGAAACAAAACTGAGCGGAATTATTGCTGGGTGTTTCAATATTTCTTTCTTCCTCCGGTGGGAATTCCATCTTGACAAGCGCGGGAGGGAACCCGGCAGGTTTCCGTTAGTAAGCCAAAAGCAAAAGATAAGAAGGAGAAAAAAGTGAGAGAAGATTGAAACTGAAAGTTACCGAACAGCTCTAAGAATACAATCAACAATTTTTTCTTTTTTCTTCTCTCCTTTTCTTCCTTTTTGTCGATCTCTTCTCTTCTTCTGTTGAAATATAAACATACAGATAAAAAATAGTGAAAAAGAAATAAAAATAAAGTCATCAAATAAAAAACATCAATGATAATAGTAATTTTGTATTTGTTCACTTTTCTACCTCATAATTAATAACAATTAAACGGCACTGTCCTGCTCAAAGAAATAAAAAAATTGTTTTTTTTCCTCCAAACAGTCGTTTAAATACATTTGAACAATTAGTGAAAACAGTAACAAAGATGACAGTCACTGGTAAAACAACTTTTGCTTCCTTCTCCGTTGTCTTTTGTTTCCAGTTTTTTAATTAATTAATTTATTTACCTATTCAGAAGAAAGTTTCTTGTAATTTTGTTAGAGAGAAGATTATCCTGCTTTCCGTTTCCCCATAAGTGTTTATTAAATATTCCAAATTAGCCATCCAAATCGGATGCTTTACGAAGATGTATTCTGCATAAGTCAGCAAAACTGTTCATCGGACTAGAAGTAAACAGTGAAGAAAAGCAAGGAAAAGGTGTAACAAGAAAATGCAGATGAAATTTGAGAGAAAAAAAGGGAACAATTAGGGGAACCAGAAACGACGTGGAACAAAGAGTTGTTTCGACATCGTTGCAATTTTATCGATTTCTGTTCAGAACTGTGCAAAATAAAAATATGCTAAAGGTGAAAAAGCAAATGTTGCACAACAGTTTGCTCATTATTTTGCTGCTTTTTTCTTTTGTCAAATCAACTAAACACCAGAAATACCTATCGCAAACTTTTCTCTCAGTCCCTTCTTTTCCATCCATGTATAACTGTGGCGTTGAATAGAAGATTCCTGTTTTTTTTCGAGGAATAACAAAGACAAGAATGAAACCAGCAAAACATTACTCCACGAGGAATTCAAGAAAAAAATCTGAGATAAAAAAGAAAACAATATTTGGTAATTTTTGCTGTATAATTTCTGACAGAATGAAAAATTACATCAGATGGACGATAAAGCCGATGACGTGTGATCACGAAACAGGAAGAACCAGGTAAGCGGAAAGAAGAGATTGCGAATAGAAGACAAGGAACCAAGAAAGGTGTTGTGCATAGACGGTGAGGAAGAGGCAAAATAAACGGATTAAAAAAAACAATACAGAAATGTATATAGAAGAAAAACGTTGATCTGTGTACTTATACTTCCAACTAAGCAAAAACTCTATTGCTAATTGTCTAACAGCAATGAATCAAAAATCAGCCAAAGCTCGGTAATATATATGAATAAAAATGCTGTAAAAATGCTCTAAAATTTTCCGCTTTCTCTCATTTATTTTCTTCCTCTCTTTATTTATATGGAATAATACCCACTCAGCTGAAAAAAAAAAAACCAAAGTCACTATTCGATACATGTGAAGTTACAAAAACGATATACATGTTCATACCGGATATTAAAGAAAATACTGATTCAGTCAAACGTACCGTTGATACCACTGCAAAAGCAGAAGTAAATCTACAGACTACTTTTTATTCACTTACATATTAGAGAATAATGGATATATTGCGCTTTCCACACTTCATTTCCAAATGTGCATAAATATTTTATAGGTATATCTAGTATTCAAAGAAGACAAATAAACCTACGCACATTTCAGCTTATCCGTTTAAAAAACCACCAAGCGAAGAAGAAAACTGCCACTGATTCAAAATTTATCACTGTTAGTATACTGCTCGTTAGAATACGTACTCAAGGTTCTCACAGAATCTTAAATAATTACCGCCAGCAACTAACAGCAAACATCACAATCGTCAGTACTTTCCAATCGGAATGCCTTGCAAATCGCTGCCAGCTGCATGGCTGATTAGGCAATATATATTATAGCTTAAACTTAGTAAAAATAACAAAATAAACTTTTAATTGACAGAATATTTCCATCAGGCAAAATAAGCATTTAGTGATAAAAAATCAGTTTCAGAGAAAAAATTCTAAGAGGTCTTGCATTTGTAGTTTGACGGAACAACGTGAACGAGAAAACGAGTAAAAACGCACACATCAATAGCACAAATTTATACTAAAGTACGGACACTGAGAGACTCAGAACACGGACACAGATATCGGGAAGTACTGTTTGTGAGAAAACCAACTAAAGAGCTTTGTTTTTGTAACTTCATTTTCTGCTTTCAGCAAGAAATATTGTTGCGCATCAATAATCATCTTATTTTTTCATTTTTATTTTATTATTTTTAATATTTTTATTTTTTTTGCCTCCTCTGTTACCCATAGTGCACTTTTGTAGTTCAACAGCCCTTTTTGACCTTATTTTCTTTTTATTTCTTTTCACACGTATTTTTAAGACAAACACCTTTTCTTTATTGCAGAAATGCAAAACAATTTTGAGGAAAAGAAAACTGGGAAAAGTGGTGTTAATACTTTGAAATTTGTGACCGAAAAAAAGAGTTTATTAGGGAGAAAAGGCGCGAAATAAATAGCATTGTAATGAGTAAGCATCGCAGTATACTCATTGAACTAAATAGGACCACTTAACCGGCATACTATAACAAAGCTGACAAAGCCTTTTTCTCTATCAATATCAACAGCAACCAGTTGGAAATTTTTGGAGCTGAGAATGGGAATAAAAGTTAAAACTAGAGTAGCGAGAATAAAAAGTGAGAAGAAAAAGTTTCAATTCAATATACTGATAACACAGACTAAATAACAACTATTTGTCAATTTTTTGAAAAAATAATAAGGAAAAAATACTCAATTTTTTTTTGCAACAAATAGGAAAACACTTTGATGTATAGCCTTTGTAGCCTGCCATTTGAGGTTATCCTAAACAGTGATGATTATGATGAAGACAATGCATTTTGTGTGCCAGACACCAGAGAGTTCACTTGTAATAGCATAAATATGCATATTTTTCTACATACTTCACAGTACCGACAAGTTACAATTACAGATGCCAAAATAGATTAGAAGTAAGAATTTTTTATGGTTGATAATCTAAATTTTTAAAAGCTAAAACCGCAAGACAGTGAAGGTATTAGTTGTTCTCGAAACTCTCTTCATATGCCTATCTAACACTGTTATCTTTCATTTTTTAAATTTAAAAAAGATAAACTACTAGAAGAATATAACTTCTTACAGAAAACAAAATCTATCGTGCAATCTGAAAAAGAAACGATCATTCATCTAAACTGTTTCTTTTACACTTCCACATAACCGATAAACATTTCAGAAGCAAAAAATGATTAATAATAATGGTAATAATAATAATAATAATAATAATAATAATAATAATGATTAATAATAATAATAATAATAATAATAATAATAATAATAAGACAATAATAATAAATTAATTTTGAGATTTTTCGGAATCAGATGATAATAATAACTAAATGCAATAATAATAATAATAATAATAATAATAATAATAAGAATAAGAATAATAATTCTAATACTTGAGTTGAGAAAGAACTAGCGCACTTACAGCTCCTGGTCTAAATTTCCTACTGCTCAAGGTAATTCTGATGGCTACATATAGGGTGTCATGCGGTGGAAAAACAGTCCAATTTTGAGACACATACACACACTTCTGACTGTACTCTGTGTGATGCCTTACTGAACCAAATAAAACAAAATTTTGGAAGTGTTGATAAAGAAGAAAAAGTATTAGGAGCAGATATTCACGTCGCTTATTCTGAAAATTTGTGATATTTACCAGTGGACAACTGTGCCGTTGATTCATATTAGAAATTTAAATTTTTGTTCTCTTCTTGCAGTATTCAGTTTTTTGTTGCAAAAGCGTTAACATTCATTTATCAGAAAACCGTGTTTTTTTTTGCTGCTGACCCGTCTTCTTCAATATCTGATACAAAAATATGTGAAAAATTTTCCATTGTTTTATTTACTGGTGTAAAAGTCTTGAAGAGACAATTTAGTGTTAATATACAATAAATCCGAGAGAAAATAATCAAAAAAAAAAGAAAAGCGGAAATCTATTTTTTTCACAGTTATTATATATGGCATTTTCTGTGGGAAAACTTTTAGCCAGTGTTAGACGTGAAAAAAAGTTGTTTTCCTTTATTTTCTTCAGTTTTTTTTTTTTTTTTTTTT